GGGGGGGGGGGGGGGGGGGGGAACTGGCCCCTTCCCTAGATCCGCCACTGCTGAGACATAACAATAATTAACCCTGAAAAGACAACAGCTAAACATAGAGGTAAGTCAAACTTATCCGGTTGGAACAAAATAATCAATCTGTGGGCATCTAGGTGAGATCAGCAAAATTCTATTTTACTTTTGCCCCTTTGAAGAATTTGAAGCCAAAACCTTTTTTGACTTTTCCCTGATAAACAAATAATAAATAAATAAACAACTTTAATTTAGAGAGAGTGACACATAACAGTATGAACTAATGAACTAATGGCCCTCTGAGCTAAACTCTTACAAGTAATGGACCTTTCCTGCATTCCAACAAACAATGGCGCTGAGTCAAGGTCTGGGCGGACAAAAATACAGCAAATGTATGAAAACGTCCACCCCAACCTCGCTTTGGAGCTATTGTTCAAACGGACTGAAGTGGAATGCAGGAAAGGTCTATAATAATAACTAAGAATAGTACAAAGTATGAATATTAATTGCAAAACAACTATACATATATAGTTATAATATATATAAAAATCAATTATTGAAAATTAAAAATTAATTCAGAGCACATGAATAACTCTATTCACAACATTATGCTAAGTAATGTGTTTTCATGGCCAAACTAAAGGAACGGATGGTGTCCTTTTTATGTATTTCTAGAAGAATTCCATTCCAGAGCTTTGCCCCATGAACTTGAAAGGTCCCTCCTCCTTCTGTTTCTCTATGATGCGGAGGACACATTAAATTAAGTTAAGTTGAATCTGAATTACACTTGACAAAAATAATGAGGCTTGGAGGATTTTAGGAATTCTTTTTAAGGGAATGAGCAAAAAACCCTGCATATCAAACTATCAACTTTTTCAAACATAAATAAGCCAGCTGGGAGCAAAAGTTGCATCTGCTTTGTAACCCTAGTTGGTAATCTCCAACAGCTGGGCCATTCCTAAGAAAAGTTGGCATTTACCTCACCCCCCAAATCATTGATTAAGTCTCTGAATGCAAGTCAGTAATTCAAAAACAGAGTAAAATGTAACTAAGATTGGCAAGAATATGTTATTAAAGAGCGGCACTGCATCCAAAATTGCTTACTAATAGCAGTAGCATACTGAACTACAGAAATGTGGGCCCCTGGCAGTAAGACATTAAGTTAAAATGTTATTTATTAAATCCATTTTTTGAGGGGTTGGGGGAGTGGAGAGTTGAATGCATTAACATCCCCCTCCCAAGAGGGTCATACCTCCAGACCACAACTGTTTCGCAGTTGCTTACTCCAGTGATATAATAGTTGTTTACTTTAAAACTTTGTGACAATCCTGAGCGTTCTACGAGACATTCTGGAATTTTAAGGACATTCGCACCGATTGTTTCTGTGCATTCTTACTGTGCATGCAAATTCACATGCCAGGTTATGCATCAAGCATGGCTAAGTAATAGAATGAGCAGTGATAGTGCAGATGGCCATTGCTATAGCTTTGCCTGGATTTAACTATCTTGGACGTTTGGTGACCCCTATTTTTCATTTGATGGATCATTTTCTCTAGCGATTTTCTATGTTTAGTGAAAAAATGAAGAAAATCTATCAATTAGAAGTTTAATTTTTTTTGCAGAATGCACCACTGGATTATGTTCTTTTTAGCTCTTGGTTTATCTGTCTGGTGGTTTCAAATGCCTCTTGAAGGGTTAAGTTTTGTGAAAACATTGGCAACACTTGGAATTATCAAACGTAACAGATTCACTAAATGCAGAATATTACTAGGATAGTTTGTCTCCGTTGATTCATCTTTGATATTTTAAGCTAAAAACCCTGGAGACCATGCTGATTAACGTTTGCCTATTTTTCAAAATCAGACTAGTTTTCCACATGCTTTATCTCTGAAAGAAAGTCCATGACCCCAACATTTTTGTGCGAATGTCCTCAAATACTCCAGAACAGTAGAACAAATTTTGTTGTCCTGTTTAATAACCTACTGGTGTGATGCCTCCAAAAATTTGCATGGTATTCTTAGGGGAGCAATTGTGAACACCTGAATACCATTTGGAACACTTGAACATGATCCCCAGTCATTTCTATCGACATCATACACCTTTAAAGAAGATGTCTGGGATATGCCTTGTTTCATGCCCAGCACAAAGATCTTTCCTTTAAAGCTCACACAGTTATAAATGTATTTTGGTGCACTCATCCAGGGAATGCTACTCCATGTGTTTGTGGCAGGGTCATACACCTCTACGAGTTTGGAATCTGATGCTTCACTGCCGAAGCCTCCAAATACGAACACTCTACTCTTGACAACTGCACCACAAGCAAACATTCTTTTGGAAGGAGTTGAGGCAATTCTGCTCCAAGAGTTTCTTGCCGGGTCAAATACTTCTACGACATCAGAGATTGCATCTTTTGCATAACCTCCTATTGTGTACAAAGAGTTTTGGTCAGCCACAGCACACATACCACTTCTTGCAATGTTCAAGGATGGTACATCATGCCACAAGTTTGTGTCAGGATTGAATTTGCGGACAAGCCATCCTCCAAATGTATACAAAAATCCTTGAAAATTAACAACAACTGGAAAATTAGAAGGAATTTCATCAGTGAAAGGCGCAAGAGGTGTCCAGGAATTTACCAAAGGGTCATATCTCTGGGTTACAAGATTATCATAGTCATCTTCAAAACCAGTTATGTAAAGTTTACCATGACAAGCACTCATGGAGGACTGAACAAATTGATTTCTGTGTGGTGGGGGCAGCAGTTTCATCATATCTGCCAGCTTGTACCACTTGTTCTCTGATGGAAGGTAACACAGTGTTTCCTTTTGTCCACAGGCAACAATGACATCTTCGTGTTCGCTCAGGCACCTTCTTGGCGGCTGTGCAAAAAAGCATTCTTCTGTGCCATACGAGAGTTCTTTCAAGACATCTAGTGCAAGTCCTGTACAAGCAGTATTGTCTTTCACAAAAGGATGCGGAAGAATGAGGTTAAAAATATCATTGCGTGACATGTAAAGAAGACGAACGTGACGAAACAACAGGAAAAAGCTCTCCTGTTTTCTGCTCTCATCACCCTCCAGCCACTTCACAATCACTTGGAAAACGTCGTGTTCCCCATTTACCGTGATGTAATCACTTGATATCCACTCCTCGACTTCTGCCACACTCAAATTCTGAAAATCGGCAGATTCTGTGACATCCATGAAATTTTCGAAAATAAAATTCTTTGCTTCTTCTTCCAGCTCAGGACTTTGATACTTCACGGCAGTGTAATAGGCATCGATGCAGTTTGAAAGGGACAAGTTTCGTGAGACAAAGTCACACGTTAGCTTTTTAAGACTTGGAACAACCAAAAAGTCAGCTATTTCAAGCAAATCAAAGGCATTGTCCTCGTGGATTTCAACATGTCCTGTGTACAGATATTCTAACACTTCTTCCATCACATCTTTGCTCGTCTCTTCCAGTCGGATCACTCCTTCTTTCCTTTCTTTCATGTCACTGTTAAGAGCGTTGTTAAAGAACGGACTTACTGCACATAACACGACTCTGTGAGCTTTCAAACGAGCTTGATCGTCGCCTGAGCCAACTTCCAGAATCACATCACAGAACCGTTCGTTCTTTCTCTGAAAATCGAGGCGCTTCATCGTTTCCGCGCAAAATTGATCCTTGCTGGTCTCCATGATCGCTACTGATGATAAATCTAACGACATCATGTAGGAATTTCCACTCAACTCGGAGAGATTTCCACGAACATGACCAACCGTACCATTCTCGTCTCCAGAGCCCACGGTCCTTCTGGCCTGCGGCAGGGATCGAGAGCTCTTGTCCAACACCGGAAGTCCGCGATTCACGGACTTCCCGTCAAATATGACAAATCTGATTGGCTGAGAATACGAAACGAATACTCTGCTCATGCTTAGAAAATCGGGTCCCGCCAATAGGTCTAGCCAGAGCTCTCGATCCCTGCCGCAGGCCAGAAGGATCGTGGGCTCTGGGGACGAGAATGCAACTGTACAAGCAATTTTACCTCCAAATTTATTGTAAGCTGATCTGCGCATACTCGTCCTCAGGAGCTGCGCAATTTTGGTGCTGACCAAAAAGATCACGGCTTCTCATGCAACCTCCTCGATCTTCCTCCCAAGAGAGTGATCGATGTTGAAGAGTATTTTAAAATTGGATGCAGATATCATCCCCTAATCAGAATTTCTTTGGTAAGAACATGCATGTTTTAGATTAGAGTTAGCGCGATATGATGCAGAAATTCTTAGCTGATTTGAAAACAACTGTGCGGTGGGTGGGCCTAGTTACTCTCTGGGCTAGTCAAGATTGAGGCCCCATTAGGTGGGGTCTGAGTCTGAGTATCTCACAATTCTGATAATTTTTGGCCTGAATTTCCTGTTAACATTGGCGGATTCAGACCTTGCTAAGGAGGGGATACTGTTTTTTCTTTGCTTGCCCTGCTGGCTTTTCTTCCTTCTGCGATTTTTTTTTGTTTTACCCAAAATAGGCGGGGGAGGGGGTCGGGGGAGGACCAGGGTCCCTCCCCTAGATCTGCCACTGGTTAATTCCATATATCTCCTTTTATACCATGCCACAGAAAATACAGCCAATGAGAATACAGGAAAGCCATTGTACTTTCCACAGTATCACATATTTATCCCTTCAATAGACCAATTTCGATATATTAAAATTCAGCCTAAAACAATAAACCTCAGCACAAGGCTCTGGGGAATAAACCCCACAAACTCTGTAGTTATTCCCCGGAGCCTTGTGTCTATTGTTTTAGGCTGAATTTTAATATATCGAAATTGGTCTATTCTCCCCCCTACCCCCTTAAAAATATCCTGCATCCCGTTACTTTAATTTTAACTGGATATCCTCTGTCCTACAAACTCCCAATAAATAGGACCTCAAGATTCCTGTTGATAAGTCATATGCCACCATTTTCAATGCAGCAGAGTTATCACTCCATGTGAGGTAGAGATTTACTTCTCAGTTTTCTTAAAGGTAATCTCCCCACTCAATTTCAGAGTTATAGATGTTAAAGGCCTGCGGCTTTGGAGGTGAAGCAGTCAGAGCAGTTTATAGATGTCAGCAAACTGTGCTTTATAGGATCAAATGCTCCAACTTCTGGAACATACATACAAGATGAAATAAGTTGAAGCACACACAAACAAAATCAACTGTGCAAAATTCAAGAACCATTACCCATGCCTATCACCCTTTGAACATATTCTGTAAACAACTCTGACTTCAAAAGTCTTTTAGTGTAATATACAACAATCACATGTCTATATGAGGTGTGGTGAGCTAATGGCAAGGTACAGGGTGCTAGCCATAGCCAGGGCCATGTAACATATGAAACACAGAAGACTATGTTTGACCACATTTCCAAACACTGAGAAGAGAGTTGAAAATGCAATGTTCAGCAGAGTATTTTTGACCAAGTTAGAGTTGTTTGGAAATGTGGTCAAACACTGTCTAGAGCATTTGATATACACATCTTCTCAATTGAAGCTAAGGGGAAAACAGAATATTATATTCTAATTTAAGATCAGAAATCTAAACACGGTCATGGTCTTGATTTTCTGTTTGAACTTGAAAAATTATTGAGAAGTTTGAGAATTGTCATTTTCCTAGTCTAGCTCATCCAGTAATGACTCAATCAAACTAAGCACCAGCAGAGATTAATTTGGGTTGTGGCATGCCTATAAAAATCACATCCCAGCTAGAGAAGCAAAATAGCTCTTACTAAGGTCCAATTTCCCTTTGGAACAAAGAGCATTATGTTTTGATTGTGCCCATGAACTCCTCAAGCTCACCCAAAGGTGGCTTACCCTTATACATGTGACACTGCAAGTGCTTGCTATCAGTTCCAGTGTTTGGCCAGTTTGGATCATGTGTATAAGGCATCCATGGTAGAGTGTCAATTGATACTCTTAATAGATACCCTCAATTGACATCTTGATCAACATCCCAATTGATACTTGGCCGACACTCTATCGACACTTGATCAACAGTCGGTCAATAGTCGGCCAAGCGTTGACCAACTCCGATGAATCGATTGAAAAATTGGTGGACTGTTGAATGAGGTGTTGATGGAGGGTCAATCGAGTGTATTGATCAACAATTGGCTGTGGCTGCCTTTAGTACACATGATCCATCAGTTCTTTATTAGTTTTATTTTCTATGTGCCTTTTCTCTGCCTAAAGTTCAGAGATGCTATTAAAGAATAAATAGACTCTTAGAAGTTGAGCAAGTTTCATTGACTTAATTTTGAAATTGTTTTAAGTTTTTCTTGGAACTGGAATTGGCACATCCAAACAGAGAGGCTCTTTGTTCAATTTGGAGTTGTTAAAAAACCCTGCGAACAAGGCAAGAAATGACAATAAAATATCTCGGATGTGGGAAATTATTGTGCACACGACAAACAATGGTGCCCAAATGCATCATTGATAGCAAGCCTTAAAAACTGTTTGGGACATGTCACTTTTAAAACACAGACCAAACAGCAAGAAATGTTTTACAGGTTATTTATTTTACATATTTTACAGTTAAACCAGAAACACACTTTTAAGAAAATCATGTCAATACTTAATCATCATATTTCTAACTACGTGTATGTTGTGTATACCTAAAAGAGATTATTAGAATACAATGATCATAGTTTTTAAAATTTGGTTAGGTAAGAATAATTTCTTAAAATTACATGTAACTCCTACAAAATCATATTGACAGCTAGCTTAACAATTCAATGCTGTGACTGAGAAGGTAAAAATATAAAGTTCAGCAAGTCTATACATTTTTCCAACAGTTACAAAGTACTAGAAAGATACAAGAATAATAATAAAAATAATAATTTTGGTAAACCAAGATAGAAATATAATCTGTAAGAAATTGAATTGAGCAAGTCGCAAGTAAAAATGTCTTTGACATCAGAAATATTTCAAATTTTCCTCTGATAACTCACAGAATGATGGAAGATTTTTTCTAATAAAATCTCTGTTTAGTAAGGCAGTAAAATATTTACATTGTTACTCTTTTCAACATTATTGGAAGAATTTAAACTAGGGGCAACATCTCTGGAGGTTGAAGTTTTGCCACTGCGTGGAAGCTGAAATGGAAAGAACAGTGTTGGAAAAAAGAAGCTTTGTTTATTAGGGACTCGGGCAATAAACAGTAACCCAAGACACTGCCCGCACTCTTGCAGAGCAGTATGTTCTCATTAACTTAGTATCCAAATCCACAAATATAAAAAAAAATCTGAATTTTTGATTCACTAATTTACACTAATATAACAGTCAACCGTACATATAGAATGTATGTACATGTATATTGTAACTGCAATGAGTTTCAGTGTTTGGCCACTTAAAGACTCTTGTTATACAATGTATATAATGTCACCCAAGGCACTCCTGTTGTTTGGAGTTTGTACATGTACCTTAAAATTCTGGTCATAAGCCCCCCCTTTCCCCCGTATGTAGGCATTGTAGGCATGTCTATATGTATATAAAAAAACTATTCCCGCTATTATTCCCACCCCTCCCTCTCCTGGATATTGGCCCTCCTTTACTTGACAAGTATACCTCAATGGTTGGTATTTGCCTTTACAATGTACCTATAAGGAAGCTCTGTGAAGGAAACAAATACCTTAACCACAAGACATCAAATAATTGTTGCTTTGAATTTGCTTGTTGTTATTGTTGTTCTTGGAAGTTGAAACAGTTAATTATTTTCATAGGCCACAGTACGACTTCAACATTGACAATGGTCACTATGCCCTACATAAAAGAAACACCCAACTTTGAACTTCTCTATCCAATTAGTGTAACTATTTCTTTGCGACCTTGAAAACGAAAGTTATTTTCAGTTTTTCCTTTAGTGTGGCAACGCTTTTCCTTTCAAGGCCGACTTAATTAAGTTATTCTATTTCAGGCTTGGCAAAAAGATTAGAGAACACCCCCGCCCCCTTGTCTACACACTTGACTGTTCTTACCTAGACTGCTTGTATTTATCCCTAATAGCTTGCTGAGGATGTTTCGGTGCATGGCTGAATGCACGATGAAGATCATGGATACATGCTTGCAGATCAAGATGTTGGAATCCGGTGTAGTGAGACAATGTTGGATTCTGTTATAGACAGGAATATATTCAAGGTTCTAACAGTAAAGATTGTACTCGATTCATTCAAGATACTGTAACTTAGAAATGAGGGTGTCTGAATTAGCCCAGGGTTAGTGGATTCTATTCACTTGCCCAAAGAAATTTTGTTTGAGGAAAATCAAATTAAAGAAGTACTGTAAATGTTGAAATTTTTTCTAGCGGAGGGGGAAGGGAGGGGGGGGGGGGGGGGGGGGG